TTATACATTTTAAAATGGGAAATGCAGATCCTGCCAGGCTCCTTTATTTATGTGTACTATTGTGGTCTTTTTTGCTTATAGGACACTAATTTTGGTGCCAAAAACATTAGTCAGTAAGTGCCATCTCTCCTGAAATCGTTCAACCTTGTATTATTAGAATGATAAACCAACAAAAAAAAACCCCAATATTTATTGAAATTGATCTGATTCATCTTTTCCTTCATGAGCAATGCTGGGGACTGAACTCGGGGCCTCATGCTTGCCACTGAACTATGTCTCTTTTTAAATTCTATTCAGGGACAGGCTTTTGCCAAAGCTAGCCTGCATCAGGAAGCAATTTGCAAACCAAAGATTTGATTTATCTTGGAAAATGTAAATACACCATCCAAGTATTGATATCAAACTCTGTCTCATTCCTCAAAGTCACTGCTTATTCCCAGAGACAAACAACTGGAACATTTTCTTGTAGAAAGGGAAGGAAAAAGCATCTTATCATGCTTGCCTTCTCATAGCAATTCCATCAAATGAAATCTCAGTCCTAATGGCTTCAGGAAGGTTCCTGCACTGTATAAAACATACCCGGACACACACACACACACTAATATGATACATACTGTGTTAATCAGTCTTCATAAAGTAATTCATATCTCAAAATGCTCACCTCATGCATGCTAACAACCATGCTCTACCACTAAGCTACTACCTCAGCTCCCTCTTTCCTTCTTTTAAAAAATGCAACTAGTTAAGACAATACACTCTTGTCTAGTTCTGGATGAATGTGAAAAACAAATAAGCAACAAAATCAAAGCCGCAAGCATTCTCTAAGCAACTTAGTACCTATTTTTCACAGCCAAATCCAAATCAAAGATGTGACCTCTGTGGTAAAATAACACAGAGATATCTAAATTTATGGACTTATTTCTTCCCACCCTTCTGGTAGCAAACCAAACTGGCTCAGAACCAAATAACACTTGCCCATTAAGTCAACACCGAATTCACCAGCCTCTAAATTCGACTCAGTTCTCTTCCAATTCAGTTTGCAACCAGAACTAAGTTAAGAACTGAAGAACCACTACATGAGCTGATTATAAATGTGAGGGCATTCTTCAAAGTGAGAGAGTATTTTAAAAGAAAATGATACTGAATTTAAACAAAATATTCAGTAGAGTCCCAAACTTCAAAAAAACAAGATTTCAGTAGTGTCTGTTCTTCCGAAATATTTTCTTAGGTCAAGAAGGTCTGAAAAACTAATGGTCAGGATCCTAGTAAATGCTGCTACAAGGATAGAATAGAAAATTACAAAAATGTTTAAAGATAATAATGCTGTTAGCAAGGTATAAGAAATGGACACTTCTTGTACAAGTTTAAAAGGTTTTAGAAAAGACAAATGAGAGGTTAGAACAAGAAATGCTTTAGTGTTTTGAAGACTCTGAAGTATAATTCCAATTCTAGAAATAAAGGCAGATGTGTATTTAGGTTTATCCCTAAGAATTTCATCAGTGACATAATAGAAAAATTAAAAGTGCAAAAACCTTAACAACCCCTCTAGAAGCAAGCAGCTAGATAAATGGTATGTTTCATATAACAAAGAGCACTGCCACACAACAAAATACTATGCCACCATTAAATTAAGTCACTGGGCATTTATCCTAGAACAATGAAAACTTACATTCACATAAAACCTGTGTAGGAATGTTCACAGCGGCTTTATTTAAAAAGCTGGAAAGAACCTAAATACCATTAATTAATGAGTGTAAGTATAAAATGTGATACACACAGAGAATGGCACGCTATTCATCAATAAAGCAGAACTACTGATATACGTGACAACTTGGATCTTAAATCCAGGGATTTAAGATTAATGGAACAAGCTGATCCTGAAAGGTGACTGTTAGAGTTTAAGTGTGAAGTATGCTCACAAGACCCTTGTACTGGGGCTTGATTCCCAAAGCGGTCATACTCTGAGGTGAGGCCTAGAGAGAACTGGGTCCTGAGGGCTCCCACCAATTCATTCACAGTTCAGTGGGCACAGCTGACTCAGACAATATGTGCCTGAGTTACTCAGCTTTCTGCTGCTGTTACAACGTAACTGACATAAACCTAAAGAAGGAAAGATCTGTTTTGGCTCATGGCTTCAGAGCTTCAGTGCACGACCCCCAGGAAGTGGGGGCCCACTGAAGGCGGGGGTCACTAAAGGCAGGCCTCTGGACAGTATTATCTGGTCACTGCCTCTCTGCCCTGGGCTGTCTGGTCATCTTTGCTTGCTGGTTTCCCTGAAGTGAGCAGGTTTCCACTTGTTCATCTGTCATGGCGGCTCTGCTCTGCCACAGGCCCACAATGGAACTTTGATGGCCCTGAACTGAAACCTTGAAACCATGAACTGAAACAAATGTTTCCTTCTGTACAATTTTTTATGTCAGGTATTTTGTTACAGCAGCAGAAAGCTGACTAAGTCACACAGTACATGGTTCTACTTTATAAAATGTAACATTTTTGAAATGACAAAATTATAAAAATGGAGAATAGTCAAAGATTGTCAGAAGTCTGAATGTAGGTACAGGAAAGGGGATAGGTGTGGCCACAAAATACCAGGTGATCTTTGCAGAGATGGAAATATTCTGCATCTTGACTCTCAGTGTCATTAGCTTAGTTGCATACACTACATGCACGATACTACCAGTGGGGTGGGACGAACTGGATAAAGGTACATGAGATTTCTGTCTACTGTTTCCTAAAATTGCATATGAATCTATAATTATATAGAAATAGGACATTTAATTTTTAAAAGTTACAGATGAGTACTTCATGATGTAGAAAAGTATCCATATCCCCCTGTTTTGTGAAAATTAGCCAAGACATCCAACCACAACACTCCTGAAGGTTAGGTTAAAAAAAATCAGGTTTAAAATCACATGTACAGGGCTGGAGATACAGTTTGGTGGCACAGCACCTGCTGGCAAGCGCAAGGTAGTGAGTTTGATCCCTGGTAACCAGAAAAAAAAAAATCACATGTATAATATCAGTCAACCAAGCCAAACCACCATGAAATAAGCACAAAGAAAATACATGTATTTTAATAAAAGAAAGAAAAGTTTTAGAAGCTTGTATCTATGGAATATCAATCTCAGTAGAGCTAGGCTTCCCAAGTAACACAGCTGCGTTTTACCAGTAGTCTTAAAGTAAGACGTGTAAAAAGCAGAAAAATCCAGGAGCAGAGGGTGCTGGGAACCTCAACTCAATCAGGCTCAAACAGGAGGCTGACACAGATGTGGACGACTCTCAAGGAAACCAGCCACCCACTATTTTCTTGCTGAAATATAACTACATTCTAGAGGGAAATTTAAGATGGTACGATGCACACCCCAAAGTCAGGAGCAAGTAGAATGGAAGGCAGTGGCTGGGACCCATCTGCTATGGGGCAGCCCCTGCTGGAAACCACTGCATGTGGCACATCTGGGGTAGGCTCACTTCTCATACACTTACTCAACAGCATTTCTGTCTGTGAGTCAGACTTCAATGAACTAATTTTTTAAAGGAGCGTAAAAGGAATTTAGAAATAAATCCACCGAACTGCAGTCAAAAGTTAGCAGGCTGAACCTAGGAAAGGCCAGGAAAACGCATCTTCATGGAAACACAAGGGTCAAATCAAGGCAAATCCTGATGAAAAGTCACTATGAGAATCCAATAATCTAGAACTATCTGTGCTGTTTTCTAAATAAAATATTGCGTGCCATTCAACAGTATAATCATACTCTAAACATAAACGCAGAAGCCATAGTTGTTATGGGCACATCCACATGTTATTTTAGATATAGCTAAAAGCATACAGATATATAAAGAATATATTTCTCAGTCTTAGACTAAGCAAGATATGTATCTATCAAGATTCTATTTTACTCTTTTAATAAAATCACCTATCTTAAAGAAATTCCAATTTTAAAGGCTATGCTTTTAAAGACTATTCCCAAACCAGCTGAACTCAGAAAGGTCATTAACTTACTACTAGAGTAAGTAACAGGGAAAAAGTACGATGGAAGACAGAATTAAAAAACCAACGCACCAGCCAGGCACATACCTGCAATATCAGCTACTCAGGAGTCAAGCAGGAGGACTGCCTGGGCAGCTTAATGAGACGCTGTCTCGAAATAAAAAATAAAAAGGGTTGGACTGTTCTTTAGTGGTAGTGTCCTGGGTTCAATTCCCAACGCTGCCCCCGGACCAAAATGCTCTCCTAAAGTTACTCTAACCTAAGAATAAGCAAATAGCTCCCATCCTGGTTTCTAATGACATGTGTGTGTCTTCAGTTTCTTAGTAGTAACTGCCAGCAACCTTTTTATTATACAAAAAAGGAAAGAACAAGCACCCATGAGAATCAGAGCCATTCCTTGCTGGCTGTCCTGAGAAGTGGACAGTAGAAAAGGGGAAGGGAACTGGGCGGGGAGGGAGGCCCTAGATCCGTGCTGGCGAACCTCTGGCACGCGTGCTGCAGCAGACTGTCACTGAAAGCTCTCAAAGTCTAGACCTCACTGGTCTAGACTACAGTCAGTCTCCAACCACCACCAGACTGAAGTATCTGGAAAACTGATTATGAACCATCCAGTTGGGCTGGGCGTTCCTGGAAGCCATTTGTTTGCTGAATCCATTCCACGAATGGGAGCCTTCCCAGAACATATTTAGAGTTCTTTCCCTAAATTTCTGTTCCCGTGATTAATTGCCAGTAAGTCAACCACCATAAAACGTGTGGCACTCCCTGCTGCAAATCTGTACAGCCCCAAGCCTTTTGGAATTAGGCTTCTGACTCATTTTGTACTTAACTTTGTTCAAAAGAAAGTTCTCCACTTTTCCTACGTTTTCCAGCAGGCCCCAGCACCGAGACCTGCTCAGAGCAATGATGGTCAGTGCGTTCTAGCAGCTTTCTCGTGCATCCTGCTTGTGGTCGCCTCAGTGCAGTTATCATTCGGCAGCTGCTTGGTAATCCCCTGTCATCCCCACCCTACAAAAGTCCGTATCAGCAGAGCTGGGTCGCAACAGGTCAGCAGAATGCAGCCGACCCACGCCACTTCTCAGGCTGAGGAGCTCAAGCAAAGATGCGCAAACTACTAAAGGGTACAATTCTAAAGCAAAAAAGACTGAGAAGGCCTGGGAGTTCTCCCCTCCACAACTCGGGGAAGACGCAAGAGGGAAGGGTCAGGAGGAGCCCGCAAGGATCAAAACAGAGACCACAATGCGCACGCGATTCTGAAAGGCAAAGTCCACACCAGACAACCAGGAGTCTCAGATTCAATGGAAGGAGTGGTCTTTCCTTGTAAGTTTTTTTTTCTTGTTTGTTTTAGTATAAATGTTCATAAAGTCTACTTTCTAGGTTTTTGAGAGGTTAATTAACAAATAAGCTCTTAGTTTCACCAGAAAAGAATCACTAATTAAAATAAAATGACAGTATGCATTCTAATTTTAGTACCTCTTTACACCTCTGGTAGGTGACATGGGATGGACTCTGCCGTACATCTCAGGAGCCGGGCAGACCCAAGTGTTCATTAAGAATGAGAGGAAACATGAAGTTTATTCCTGAAATAGCTCTCTGGCCACCTCACATACTGTGGCTGAATTTGGCCACATACAGGTCTACGTTTTGAGCCACCAAAGCCTTCAGAGTATCTGTGTTTAAAAAAAAAAAACAAAAAAAAAAACCCTAAAATGGAATCATGGAGCACACAGGGGAGAGACTGCGGAGGCTCAGGGGACTGACAGTGCAGGGTGCAGTTCGATCAAAGCAATCCTTTCCTTGTAATCTTACATTGGAGCCAGAGAATCCATAATTTTACATGGTCATTATCTAGAATGGGTACGACTACCACAAGGCAGTAGAGATTCTGATACAATTAAAGACAGCACATTTTGTCTAATAAAGCAACTCTGAAAGGAACATCATCAATAGCCGAAGATAAAAAGTAAACCAAGTTCAGCATCACAAGCTTTTCCACATGATTTCAGCCATTACCTAGTCTCAGCCTTGCATGCTTCTGGCTCTTATGGGAACCGGGAATGTGATGCTGTTTCTAATGAGTCAACTAAACTCCTGGGCCGGCTCCTTCTCCACCAAACCCCGTAAGACTTAAATCCTAAACTGATGGGTCTCCAGCACACTCCAACAGCACCACTCACACACCAGCTCTTCCCTTTCGGGAGAAGGGAACACACCACCACAGGCCTACGAATGCTATCACTTAGCTGCCTCTCAGTCAATTTCCTCTCTAGTCCTTCAGAGTTTTTCTGATTACTGAGGTTCAGGCCATGAGCCACACTTCCAAGTTCTAAAACAATGTGGAAAGGACTCTGCTTTATCCACTCTGGCATTTCACCTCCCAGGCTGTATTCTGCTGATAAAGCTGTGTCCTACCAAAAACCACATCATGAACTTAGTTGTCTGGGATGTGCTGGGTTTGACCACGTAAAACAGGGTTCTTTCCTGCAGGACTTGTAAGTAGCACGTATCTTGAAGCGCCTAGCAGTTATCAGGACACTAAGTATCTTCACATTGGTGTGAGATTAAGCAAGTGTTCTGGAGTCTCTCAAATTCCCTGGAACTCTGCCTACAGGTAAGTACACATATACGTTTTTCCTCTTTTCTCTAAACATCTTTTCTTGGTGCCCTATCTTGATTTTCATTTCCTGCTTAAACTCTCCCATTCCATTGGCAACATATGTTTTCTTTCCCTGCTTACAAAATATACCTGAAGAGTCATTCATCCAACAATTCCTAACTTTTCCAAGCAATCCGGACATTTCCCCCTGTTACTCAAAATCAACATTACTACTTTTACTTTGAATATTTTTTAAAAATTTAAGAACTAACAAGGAATCCATGGATGAGCCCATAAACCCTGAAATCATATACAAAATATCGATTACATTTATTAGGGGATAACCAATATAATTTTCTCAAAGGGATCCGTCAGTCTTCAAAACTAGTGACAAATAATAGCAAAAGAGTATTAAAAATGTGTTTCACATTAGGGATAACAGAACAGAGAGGAGAAACAGAATAGGAAGCACTTAACTTACAACAAAGTAATACAGACAGCGAGTATATAAATTTGAGGAACACTCTTCAAAATAAAGGGAGAGAAAAGACGACATGTAAGTTTAAACCAAAAAAGGCAGGAAGACAGAAACAGGGTTTAGTCGCCTGACAGAATGAAACAGGGCTATCACCACTAAAATACGGGTTTTGCTCCAATCTTGACTTATCCCCCCCGCTTGGTCCACCAGTGCAAAAGTGGAGAGCAAAATCATGACTCTCATTGCTGTAAGATCAAAGATGCCACCATGCCACTGTACCACGAGCAGACTGCCCGTACCAAAGTGCACACCACTGCCTGAGACAACAATTCCTTAAGACAAAGAACAGATTTTATCCTAGGAATGGTAGACACACAAAGCCAGAGTCTATACAGTTTCTTTCTTTGGTCCCTCCTCTCATAAAATGCTTTAAGATTTATATTAACATACTGTCTCCCTGCCCCAGAAAACAAACATCTATGAGAGGGTAAACATCAAATAGTAAGTTACAGAAACTACAAAACGTATTTAAATGGTCTCAATGAAATGGAGAAGGGGTCCTCAGTACCTGTTGGACTTTTTTTTTTTTTAAGACAAAAACTGAAGCCCGTAAGTTCCATGAAACAATGTGTATGGCTGGGAAACAAATTCAATATAACAAGCACCAAAGTTTTCTGTATCAACAGTTAAACTAAGTTACATTAAGTTGAACAGTAGAAAGATAAGTATTATAATGAAAAGTATTTTTTCACCTTTTCTCTTTAGAAATACTTCCAGTATGCCTGAAAACTCAATTTGCATTCCACATTGCTACTTAAAAACATTATTATCCTCACACCTCTCATAAACTCAACAGAAATAAGCCGAATGCTGTGGCCTCACCTACCTGTGGCTTGATGACAAGCGTTTGCAAAACCCAGCTGCTTGGAGGAGGGAGAGGGAAGGGGAGAAGTCACACCCCGGGGTGTGTGTGTGTGTGTGTGTGTGTGTGTGTACTTCTCCTTGGGTGCAACATTAAAATATCGGAAGGGTAAACCAATAGTGTTGTTTGAAGAATCCACATGAAAATACCTTGCGTTATAAGCTTCTGTGCCAAAACCACACCGTTTTCCTGACACATACAGTCAAACAGCACACATGTACTGAAAAGGTTTCCCAAGGACATAAAGAGAGCTGCCCTTCAAAACTTAGCTCAGAGCAGTCTCCCTCCTTATCTCAGCTCAGGGGCTGGCACGAGTCATGTGTGGAAAGAGCAGGAGCCCTGCCAGATTCAACAAGGCCTGATTTGGGCACAAGAGGGCATGCCGTGGTGGTGGCCCCACCTTCACCATCAGTGACTGAGACACATCCCAGCCACAGGCTCCGGAGGCACAGAAGACCTAGGCCACCACCCGCAAGGCACGGCACCCAACTTTGTCTTCGCTTCTTTGTAAACATATAATTTAAACTGAAAATCTCAAGCTGTCCTTTGATTCCTACATTTTTTTTTTCAACAGGCTTTGCGGGCCTGGATGTTACAGGCGGGAGCATAAAAGTGAAAAACTTTCTGCCGTCTCCCTTCTCACTACTGCAATAGTTTTAGGATGTCAAAATCAACACAAACACAAGACAAAAGACAAACATACAACACAGGACAACGTATTCACTTTTCTATCCCACACCAATTGTTTAACTTTCCTTGAGCCCAGTTAACCTGATACAAGCCCTCTGCACCCTTTCAACTCATCTATTTACAAGACGGTAAGATCTAAAATATCTACACACCCTATTTCATAATCAACATCTTTTGATAAACTGGGAAATAAAAGAACATTTTGTTACGATAACGCGTAATGCTCCCTTCTAAGAAAAAACACTTGTACCCGATCCAGCCAATGTGGTTCATTAACAACAAGTTCATTGTTTCTTACAGGCTAACACTGACTGCCCACTGAGGACCTGACAATGTTCGCAACACCTAGATGTTCCCCCTGCCCACTAAGTCATTCCTACGCACACTTCCATTTCTTTGTGGGCACCCTAGAAAAAGGCTTACTAAATTCTAATGGTACTGAGACTGAAAGACCAGAGAGTAATGAACCCACAAAGCATCCTTCTTCTAGCTCTCAATGACTACCCACACCAACATACTCAGCACCCCCTCAAGCAATGGTTTGTCAGAGATGAAACCACAACAAATGTGCAACAGAGGCCCCAGCTGTGGCACACAAGCGTCAGAAGCAAAATGCAGGTCATTCCCTGTAGTACACACACCGGCTTAGGCAGGTGGGACAGTCCTGACCCGATTTCCTGAGACACACACCTTTGCACAAGCATCCAAGCTGCCAGCACAATTCCATTCCAGAAAACCACTACGGAGTACAGGAGCCCCTTCCTTCAAGGGTAAGTGGAGGCAAATGCAAGACACACTCTTGCTTACTATTAAAAAAGATCGAAGTTTTTAAAAGGGAAGTTTTCACTGCCAACTCATGGAAAGAGAGGAACAGGCGAGTGATGGCCCTGAATGAGAAAGCTGAGGCAGGCGCGGTGACGGCACAGAGCCTTGCTGACGGTGCTCTGAGAACTGGCCTACAGGGACTGTTCGCTCACAAAGTCACACAAAGAACCTTCACTTCTAAACCTTGTTTTCCTGTTTAAGTCAACTTTATGAAGTATAATTTACATAACAAAACACGCACCAATTTTAAACAGAGCTAAGGAGAACTGTGCCACATGTACATACACCTCTGTAACGACAACCAAAATGAACACCTAGAACACTTGTGTTTCTTCGCCAGCGTCCCCTGAGGCCTTTTTACAGTCCACTCCTTTGTGCCGCCACCCCGGCACTCACTGGTCAGCTCTCGGTCATCACAGGTTAGTTTTTGCCTTTTCTAGAATTTCACAGCAAGACAGGCAAATGGTATGTGCTCTTCTGTGGTAGGTTTTCTCTCTCAGAATACTTCTGAGAGTCATCCATGTTACACACCCACGATTTGTTCATTTCTGTTGCTTAGTATCCCCTCTGCATCGGTATAACACAGTTTTCCAGACTTTTTTTTAATAAAAAGAAAGCAGTGCTTAACTTTAAAAGACGTACATGACTTTCTAAGGACTATTTCTTCCTTTCAAGGTAACAGGACCTAGAAAGGAACTCTGTATAAAGTGCTGATCCCAAAACTTAGGCTTCAGGAACACAGTCTTGTTTTGTTTCGCCTCTACACAGCACCCTGTTCAATCGGATGGAAAGAAAGGGTACTCGGAAGCTCTGCTGACTGCCAGTTCAAACAGTTATTGGTAGCTGCTGAAGAACTAGGAGGAAACTGCATCCAAGCAAATTTTCACATGCGTTTCCCGAATGCCTGACCCGAAAGTGCACTTTAGGATTACAGTTTCATTTGGGTCCTGGTCCTTTTGCTTTTTCCTGACTGCAGGATTTTAGATTTTAGCGTAACTCCTAAGTTACTCTACCACCAGAAGGATGCGACGGGATCTCCCCTGTGACATCCTGTTTAGAGAATAAAATATATAAACCACGTACATCTTGCTTGACCTAACCTGCCATATCATTTAAGATGACGAGAGTCTTCAAAGGAGCGTCTGTTTCTCACGCCACTTAGTTTCAGGACGGCTGCCTCTCTGCAACAAGCACGGCTGACCTCAATGGAAATGGACCATCCTTACCCAATGTGGGGTACAGAAAACAGATGCTGTAAGCATGAGTCCCAGTTACACTTTGGTTGTCAAACAAGGCAATCTAATACCCCAGACGCAAAACGGAAGTCTTCTATCCCTAAGCTGGTACCCTCAGCCCTGCTCCTGACAGGTCTTTGCAACAATCACAAAGGCAGACTGCAACATTTTCTGAGAGAAAAGGCATCGAGTGAGCAGACTATTTTCTGATCACTCTGCTTAACAAACTAGCGGGCACTCCATGTCCTGCCTCAGTCTCCTCTTCTGTCAAATGAGGAGGCTGAACTGGAATGGGCTTTAACATTCCCTCTGCAGTCTGAAGCTTGTAACATGAAGCTCACAAATGAGTCACAATTCCAAAATTAAAATGAAAAGAGCTGTCTTTTTAAAAAACCATAATAGAAAGCCAGGCATGGTAGTGCACACCTTTAATCCCAGGGCTCAGGAGGCTGAAGCAGGAGGATCGTTGTGAATTTGAGACCAGCATGGGCTACAAGAGAGCTCAAGGCCAACCTGAACCGTACAGTGAGACCCTGTCTCAAGCAGAAAGAGGAGGAGGAGGAGGAGGAGGAGGAGGAGGAAGAGGGAGGGAGGGAAGGAAAGAAAAAGAAAAAAACCTGTGAGCAAAGTATCTAGAATTCTGACAGAAGTCATCAATCAGTCTTAAGCCTCAAATCCTAATTCTCGGGTACTGTAGTCTCTAAACAAGTACTTTTCTTTTTTTGTCTATTCATTATCTATTTTCTGTCCTCAAATGTGAATATTACCCTTCAAATAAACATATGAAATCCTGTTCATGAGTTCTAGTCTTCACATTGAACTTGGTACATCTATGTGCCTGTTTTTGTCTGAATACTGTTATTCATCATGATGCACAGAACATAACATCCTTTGATTAAATCTCTCACTGTCAACAGTGTAACAGGCAGACAAAAAAATTCCTGGGGGGGGGGAGACCACCTGCTTTTGCAACAGTTCATCCTGGCGACATGAAAGTGCTAGGAATCACTCTTAAGTATTTGATTAATACTCATTACTGAAAGTTTTTTTTTTCCATACATGGAAAAGGAAGATTATCTTAGAGTTAGGATAAGGCATCACTGCATAAAAAAGCCCTTTAAATTTTTCCAAGGCATCTGAGGAAGACACTGCTTGTCTGTCCCAGCTATTAGTCACAGGAACTAGTACTGAGCAGCCAGCCACCCTTCGGTGACTGCTCCTCCTTCTCAAGTTAAAGGCAGCTGAAGCCCAGGCTCCGCCCCTGGGCTGGACCGCAGGGAGAGGGCCTGCAGTCCTGGAATCCTGGAAAAGGGTGCGTGGCTGGGGAACAGTGCCTGCACTCCAAGAGTAAAAGCCTGCCTCAGGGATGTGGTGCTTTCCAAGATGGTCAGGAGCACGCGGGCTGAGAGCACGCTGGCAGGAGTGTTTGTGCAAGCACACAGTCATTCCCAGGACTGAATGTCCCCGCACTTGGAGAGGAAGTAAACAAGGATCCGGGCTGTGCCTGCGCCTGTGCAGCCCAGGGCAGCCAAGGCCTGGCCCGAGCAGACTCCCAGCACCCAGGCAGGGCTTGCTTACGTCACAGAGCTCCAGAATGTGGGCTGCATGTGACCAGGAAAAATTACAAAGGCCAGTTTAAACACAGCCTTTATTTCTATCATTTATTTTTTTTCCCCAAAAAACCATCATTTTCTGAAGTCAGGCCGGACTGTGGACAGCCACTTCTTGTGGGATGGGCCACAGGAACAGTACCCAGACCCCGTCAGGCCATCCACTCTCCTCAGAATGGGCAGGGTCAGCTACTCCTGCCCACCGGACCAAAGCAAAAGTGAATGTGGTCATTCTGTTTCACAAAATACCGTTAGGAACATCCATTTGCAAATGTCCAACTGCAAACTCTGCCACTCTATGTTTACCTAATAAATGCTGGAACTAAGATCTTGTTATTAGTTTCCATTAAAAGTTTTAAGTTTTGTATTCTTATTTCTTCAAGCTTTTCCATGTTCCCACTGGAACAGACAATGTGCTGCTTTCTCTCTCTCCCTCCTTCTCTCTTTTCTTTCTTGCCTATTTACAGAAAATCATCTCAGCACAGCATGGTCTGTCTCTATTCACACACATCTCATTTTGTGTAATACGAAACATGTAACTTTGACTATAACTGGATTTTTGAAACAATAAAAAAGTTCATTAAAAATTCAAAAAGGAACCGGGGCGTCCCAGCACTCGGGAGGCTGTGGTGGGAGGATCGTTGTGAGTTCGACACCAGCATGCGCTACAAAGTGAGCTCAAGGCCAGCCTGAACTGCATAGTGAGACCCGGTCTCAAAAAAGACAAAAAAAAAAAATCAAAAAGGTACCAGCTCATTAAAGAAATTAATTTTATGCCTTGAATTTACATTCTTTATAAATCTTAATTTTTTCATATAATCTAACTTTAAAAATATATGACTATATTCAGACAATGATCCATGCAAATAAATTTGCAAATGGGCAAAAAGATTAGGCCTAAGCGCAGAGAAAAATACAAAATGACTTTTAATAGTTCGAAACAGTTTGCTTAACAAACAACCCATGTATTCTCTACCTTTGTTGAATTTATGGATTTTAAAACAATAAAACACATTTTTAAATGCGGTTACAAACAACGCAGACTGTCACAGCACCTAAAGCTTTTAATTCTGTTAAGGTAACTTTAAAGTTAGCTTCATTTTTAGAAAATCCTGTATTTATGAAGCAGGTCCCTCTGCCTTACTGCCAAAAGCAGGCATCTGAAAGAAAGTCACATGAACGAAAAGCAAGAGGAAGAGGGCCTGGGGCCTGCTCCTGTGTGTCGCCCACTTAACTGTCACTAATTTGGAAACACTGGTCTGAGTCACCTCAAAGCACAGGAATCCTTAAGTTTTCTATAAAAATATTTACCAGTGCCCCTGACTGACTTAACACAACACCGGGGGGCAAAAGGAAAGTTTCAGGTTCCCGAGCCAGATGCACCATCGGGCAAGTGGGCTGAGTACAGATAACCTCAGAGAGAAATTCAACATTTCATCTCGGGTTTCTGATGACAATGCAGAAGCAGGAGCGTACATTGTACTTTACACAATGCCTCCTCTGTTTGCAGGAACACGGACTGGTCTGAAACGGGAGCGAAAAAACAAGGCCAGTTCTGAGCTACGGCTCTCACTTCAAAAGCAAACGCATACTCTCCCTCCTCCATGTGGGCATGCACTCATAGGCACGTTTTTGTAAGAATCTGCATAGTCTATGTGACACAAATAGGCACACATGATCCGTAGCTTCGTGTAGCTGCCTGACAACACACCCCTGTCAATTCTGTATGCGACGGTCCTAATAGAACCCCTTTAACTTCCTGGAACAATCTGGGACCAGCACTGTCCTAGAGAAAAAGGTCAAGGATCCTCCCTGTTTCTGAGAGGCTCGTGCCAGCCGGATGGCGGGAAAACCAGGAAGTAGAGCGGGCACACTACACTTCCTCTGCTCTCGGAAGCCAGGGGAGCTTGGTCAACAGGCCCAGCACACACCCCCGGCACTGATCAGGGCCCAGGCCCAGGTCTAGGGCTCAGCTGCTTCTGCAATTAACAAGGGATAACGTTCACTTTCAGGTTTATGTGACAGTGGTGCTCCACAGGTCTCATTTATTCCCAGCCCTTCTCCTGACACACACCGTGACAGAACCAGGGTCTTGTCTCACTCCTAGAATCCTGCTAAAGGCTTGAGAAGGCCAATATGCTGGTGATGTGCAGGAACTCTGTACCAGCCCGAATATCACCTCATCGCGCCC